CACACACACACACACACACACAGAAACAGATCTGAAAAGCTATAAGCTGAAGTGGTTTCTGGAAACTCCGAAGAGGGGATTGGGATTAAAAGTGTGGTCACAAGCCATCTTAACCCAATTTCTAATTTTTAATATTCTTTACAAGGACAATTCATTTATGTGTTTGTTTATATTTATATAATTAAAAATTAACTTAAAAATAAAATTTCCTACAAATGAGATAATCTGTTCACCTACCTCAGAGTTGACTGTATATGTGTACTACTTAAGAATACTAGGCTATGTCAGGGGTCTTTATTCCTAACACAAATTAGAATCTTATTACAACTGTCTAGTTTTAATGATAACGTTTGAACTGCTAACAATTTTTAAATTACATCTTAAGGTTCCTACCAGCTAAATTATCCTAACTGGAATTATTTTCAAATGAAAATTATTTTATAAGAAACTAAATTTAAGGTATCTATATATTAATAGATGGCTAAATTTAGATACACATGATCAACATGACATTTTCTCAGACAGGATGTGTGCCCTGCAATTAGGTCAACTTCAGGAAAACATGCGACTTTAAGTTTTTAGGAAGTTATCCCTAGTTGCTCTCTCAAGTGTTTTAGGCATTTGAAACAGAGTACTTTTAAGAATTCTTTGTTCTTAAAAATCCTAACTAGATAACACAAACTTATTGTTCAGATAGGAACATTAGTAATCAACCAAAAGTTAATTAGTATCACTCATTTATTATTTTCTGTAATATATCTGAATATAATTATGTCATATACAATTTTTTTGCTGGGACATTTTCACTATGGGGTTTGGAATTATTTTAATATCAATGTAATAAGTAGGAATACATATTATGATTTATCTTCTATTCCACATTTGTCATCGCTAAGAATCTGTGAAAGCATCATTTACTTCTATTTCATGAGAACTAGAGAGGAAAAGCCCAGGGTAAAGATTAGTAGCATATTTATGAAACCCAAAAGACCTCTCCCCAAAAAGACTACTTTTTAAAACAAGGTCCCTTCATCAAGGAACAAAAAAAAAAAAAAAAAATGATCCACTTTACCTCCTGAAAGATGATAGACTGTATGGGACTCAATGAGAAATACATGGAAATGCTGAAAATAAATTCAAGCTGATTTGAAAGGGTGCTTTTGTTTTAATACCATAAGTATATTAAAGAAAAAAAATCTGCATTTGAGCCTTACATAACTTACAAACTACAGAAAGAACTTTCAAGATGAAAAAAATAACTATAAAAATAATTTAAAAATAGAAATTAGTAAAACCATTTCAGAGACTGTTGTTTGCATTTTAGAAAAATTCTCCCCTTTTGTTAAAGGAGATTCAAATAAAGAATAATGCAAAAAAACGTCAACCTCTCAGTTTTTCTAGATTAGGCACAATAAAGAGCAAGTCAGCAATCATACAAAATCTATTCTTACAAAACTCATTAACACCTAAAATATTTTATTATAGAAAACTTTGGGTATCTAAAGATAGTTTGATCCTGTTCTACTTTCATCTTTACAACTATCTCCTCTAATCACTTTGAGAGTCTATTAACTAAGTAGTAAATTGTTTATTAACAAGATAGACATCGAATCCCCCCAAATTTTGGATTCTTCAAAATTAAGTCTAAACAGGCAGTAGAACGATGTTTTATAAATTCTATCCACAGGCATGGCATTACTTTTAAAGGGCTTTAAAGGGTTCTTGATAAAATTTTAAGTACAGATTCATGGTGTTTCCTATGGACAATAAAACTATTATTAATTACATCTGAAGAAAAATGCATGGTCAAAATTTTCCTCACAACTTAATTCTTTGTGGCAAGTAATATGCTTATAAAATTTACTTAGTGATGATTTTTCAATTAGTACAAAATTTTCGTATTCAAATGTAACAAGCTATTTAAAAGAAATTCTTTAATAAATGTGTCATATCACACCATGCAATTAAACCTAAAGCTATAGTTTTACATTAATAATAGGTGGCAAATTTTTAAAAAGGAAAAAAACATAAAACACTTTCATTTTTAAAGCAAAAATATCACCAAATTAGTTATTTTATACTGGATTCAATGTATTTTCAATTTATAATTAAAACTATATTCTTCACTAGAAAATTGTAGAAATAAGAGAAAAATTACACTTGTGCAGGTAAATTGTGATTGTTCTTGTTACTGCATTTCTCATTGCACCGTAAGTGATGGGATGTTGCTGGTAGATTTCACAGAAGCAAGTGAGACCACACTAAGGTCAGGATTTCCTTGTGAGAGGTGACGAGAAAGAGTAGAAAAATTACACTTGTGCAGGTAAATTGTGATTGTTCTTGTTACTGCATTTCTCATTGCACTGTAAGTGATGGGATGTTGCTGGTAGATTTCACAGAAGCAAGTGAGACCACACTAAGGTCAGGATTTCCTTGTGAGAGGTGACGAGAAAGAGTGAAAAATTTCACAGCTTGGAATTTGGTTGTGAAATATATCCTCTGCTCTAGTCATAAGCTTTTCTGCTAATAAATCAAAATCCTGTTATACACTAGCATAATGTTCATGACAATTGTCTATATTTTATCTTCTTAAAATCAAAGACTCAATTCTAAAGGGTTAATAGAGGAATTACAAAGTAACTCTCTAGTTTGCATTTCCCATAATACTAAATAAAGCTTTTTCTTTTAGTCTAGAAATTTGCTTTTTTAATACTGTGAAAAGCCTCTATGAATCTGTTTAACGTATTTATTTCTTTTCATCTATTCAGTGCCACTGGGCATAACGTGTAATGCAGTGCGTGTTGATATTTTGCAAAGCACCACATGACTCACTGTACCCTAATGCACTCCATTAATCCTGTTTGGACAGCTGGGTCCAGGCATTTGTTAGCTGCATTTTAATTGTTCCATCTTTCTTTTTTTTCTTTTTATTTATCTCTATGGCAAACTACTCTGGAATTTAATTTGTTGGTCTTCAAAAAGTAAATTTTGCCATTAATATGTTTTCTTTGTATTAAAACTATACTCAGCATGTAATTTTCTTCTATGAAATCAGTATATATTAACGACTAGCAATTAATCTGAAATAACAGAGCACAGTAAATGAATTTCATAAATGTTAAAATGGTGGGGTGGCTGTAATATCACAGAAATTATTTGATGGATTGTCATAATATAAATGATAACTTCAAATCAGGTTACTAGAGTGTATATTTTTGACATTTTCAAGATTAGCACACCATAAGCAGATGCTAAAAAAAATAACAAGTCCTATAAAGCAAACACAAAGGAAATAAGACTATTAAACAGATTTTGTGCTAGTCTGTGGAACAGTGGCTCCATTTACATTTATACTTTAACTTCACCTTCTATTAAAACATGATATTCTTTGTAAGAATTACAAAGACAACAACAAAGCTTACACTCTCTTGGCACAGCCTGCATCCCTGATGGTCATGAGTCCTAAGTAAATAACGGAGGCGACATAAAGCTCAAACAAAAGCAACTCACAGTTACTAGTAATTTTTGTTATGAGCGAGTTGCTGAAGTTCAGTGATGGAATTTTTCTAATCATTATGGACACTCTTAAGTCAAAACCAAAGTTTAGAGATTCAGACACAACTGCCTAATGGGAATTTTTGTCTGAAATAATATTTGGCCAAGAACTGAGAATGTAGTCCACAACAGTGCATAATAAAAGATAAGAAGGACAAATGAAGACTCACTCAACTATTTCAATGACAAAGTGAATCTGTTTTACTTTAAAAGATAATCAAAATTCTCTGTAAACTGAAAAATTAAGAAAACGATAGGAACGACAGGCAAGTAGAAACTAAAGGACTGAGGGCGTCCTTTGAATCAATGTGTGCTTTCAGAAATCTCACTGCTTTCAACTCTATTTCTTGCACACAAAGCAGCTAAAATGTTTACAAATTTTCAATTTTTAAACCACATTAAATTACAAATTTTAAAAACATTTCATATAAGAAAAATTGGTTTAACATTTTCTAGACATTAAACATTTTTTTCCAAAAATCAGTTTCCTTTCTAGAGGACTCAAAAGCCTAACTTGTGAATGTCTCAGTGGAAGGAAAAAAAAAAGTTCATTGTTTGGAGAAGGAATGTTTTTAAGTGTTTAAAAAATAAATAGTCTTTATTTGATGAAAGTACTTCTCTTGGTACAGGCCTACACATAAATGAAGTGTAAAATTAAAGGTATAAAATGATGTGGAAAGAAATATTATATTTCAAAGGTGATCTTTTTGGAAAAGTTTAGATAGTAAAAGTTAAAGAAGTTTAGTAAAGACAGCTTTAAAAGATACGGATTTTAAACGAAAACTTCTCATTCAAACTGACCCAGTGTTCTTGACATCACAGGCAGAGCAGAGCTCAAGACCAAGATGGACACACAATTCCCAATGATCTGTTGTGAGAAATCAGAAAGAATACTGAGTTAAACCATACGATGATAATAAAAGCCACTAACATTCTGGGAAATTACCATACATTCTAGTTACCTATTACACTTTGCCAACTTCTTAATGATACTTATTATTCAATATAGAACTTGAAAAGAATAATAAACTTTTTCTATAAATATTTCAAGTTGTATCTGTAAGTTCTAAAAGATATTTACAGTACATGGCACAATATAAAGTTACAGAACACTTAAATTACTTTACACCTGGACAATGCATTTTATACATTATTGGTTAGGTTGCCAATTTCAGAAAGCTTTGCATGTCAAGTAAAAAAGAATTAATTATTTAATACTTCTGACTATATTTTAAAGTCAGATTACTGCTAAAGATCTCTTATATATCTACTTCTAATATGTTTAATTATTATAAGATTTAATTTTAAAATTGCCAGAAATCCAAAACATCTAAACTCTAGTAATTAATTTTCAAAGTATCCTACACTTATTCTTTCATATTAAATAAGAGGAGCTGAAAATACTGATTAATACTTATGATCATTTCAACTAGATACTAAATATCTCAACTATTTATTAACTTTTAGAAAGTCATAGCTATATATGTGTGTGTATGTATAAACATATATAAAATAATTTCTCCCCTTTAAATAGGCTAAAAACATAGAATATATAATAAAAATAAACAAGCCAACAGCTCTTATTAGTTATTCTTCTTTGTCAGTCTCTGGGAATATTTTACAAAGATTCAATCACCATGTAAGGTAACAGCCTTTATTATTCTGAACCCAATGACATATTGTAGAAAGTCAAATTAGCCTCAGACTACAAAATGTTTCTGAATAGAACTCTTCCGTCTTACTTTAATTATTCAAATTTGAAATACTTTGTCTCTACTACTTGTAGCAACTAAGTTCTTCAGATTTCAAACAAGCCCCCTGAAGTACAGTTAGCACAATCGAAGTTACTCATTAGCAATACTTTTTTTTTTTTTTTAGAGGAAAAAGAGTCCTTTCAGGGGCCTTCTATGGCTAGTTAACAAGCTCTGCAGTTCTGTGCATTTACAAGTGAATGGACGCCATCCAAATTAAACAGAGCACATCCCTTTCCCACTCACTCCACATTCTGGAAGTCTTCCAGTTTGTGTTTATGCAACTTACAAACAAATACCTATCAGTGCAAATGAACCATTCAGGATGATTACTAAATAAAACAGTCCATTTGTCTTGGAAGGCAAAAGAGGCCACAGTCACCTAAGACTTCACCTTACCTTTGTCATAGTTGTGTCATCCTTCTTGGGAGTAAAGTTTCCAAAAAATCGGAGGCTATAGAAACCGACAACAGAGGACACCATAAGATAGCTGTGAGAATCAAGGAAAAAAACTCCCTAAAAGAATGCAAATTTCTTTAAGTTCTCAGCAGTCTCCAAAAAGTCTTAGTGCCCATAGAAAAAAATAAATAAAACAAAAAGCCACTCTGAGTGCTTGTGGAAGACTGACCTGTTGTTTTTTCTTCTAGACAAGTGTCTTAGTAAATTACCACTGTCCCAGAAAACTAGACAGAAAGCTTGTTAACAGACAGAACGTTCAGTTAAAGAAAGGATACAAAATCAAAATGATTTCAAGTGCAGCTCCCACAAAACCAAAAGTAGACAGGGAGGCATTTCCTATTCCAGGCCCCTGAGAGAGAAAAAAAACACTTCTCAGAATTCAATGACACCATTATATATCTGGTTTTCCTAAAATAGTTTTTTCCTAAAAATAAGACAGTTGAAATTAGGAATGTTTAATACCTTGAAATAACATCTAGACTTTCAAAGGCCAATAAAACATGACAGTGGACTGATTTAATCAACAAATTTAGCCACCATGTTAACAATTTTAACAAGCTCAAAAAATCTGATTTACCTCAAATGTAAGTTACTTGTCAAAATGATATGATTGTGCTATTATAAAATGGGGCAATTTGCTACTTCAGAAAAAAAAATCCCAAATATTCTTGGGAGAAATTTTTTTTAAATAGAATAGTACAATAGAAATAGAATATATAACTATCAGAATACTGAAGCAACATACAAAAATTACACAATTTAAGTATGTCAAAATGAAGTTGAGCATAGAATGAAAATGAATGTGCCTATCTCCTGCCTCTACACCTCAAAGTTTCCTTTCCCAGATCTTCCCTGGGAATTCAGAGTTACAGAAGGTGTAACTGTTAACACAGATATCTATTAAGTAATGCTATAAATTTTTTCCTAAATATTATACCTATGTCAAAACCTATCTTCATCTAGAACTTCAAGCAAAAAAAAAAAAAAAGAAAGAAAGAAAAAAATATTATTTTTATAATGAGATTACATAGGCCAAAAAGCATTTTCTACTGAAGCAGGAACAATATTTGCAAAGCTTACTAATTAAAGGAACTATCTGAATATGAATTACTGTTTTACTAGTTATCTTAAATTATGTCTAAAAGAAATAGCAGGGATAATTAAGAATGTGTAGTCAGCCTAATAAAAAAGTAAACCAATAGGGGCCGGCCCGGTGGCGCACTGTGCTAGTGCGCCGCTTGGGAAGCGCGGCAGCGCTCCCGTCGAGGGTTCGGATCCCACATATAGACCGGTTCCCGCTCACTGGCTGAGCGAGGCACGGGGGCAACACCGAGGGTTGCGATCCCGTTGCCGGTCCCGGTCCGGTACGGGGGCGACACTGAGGGTTGCGAACCGTTGCCGGACACGGAAAAAGACAAAAAAAAAAAAAAAGTAAACCAATAAATAATATCATACATATTATATATATACATTCTATTTTTGGCATAAAGAAGTAAATATAGCCATGGAAATTTCATGTACTAATAAAGTAAGGGCAAAAAATTTACCAACTTTTCATCAATCTTTTGAAGAAAAAATGAATAATGCCATAGTAAATGATAGGGTTCAGGACATGCCACCCCAAAATATGACACCTTGGAATCAGAAAACCCAATAAGGTCACAGTCTTACTTCCTGTCACTCTCCTCTGACCATACGACCCTCATTTGAGGGGTGGCTTCCCTATTCCCAGAGGAAAGGAACATCCTTATCTCTGAAGACACAAAACACAGAAGAATCAGAACACACAGGCCTTGCTAAATGTCCCCCAGCTTACAACCATTAGATCACACTTCCTCACGACTGTCCACTCTGTATCAAGCCTAAGCATAAAAACACACAGGTTTCCCTGTTTCTTTGGTCTTCATTCTAAAGGCTCCCACGACATGTTAAACTTATCTCACATACATCTGTCTGCTTTTCTCTTGTTAATCTATCTTTTGTAAGAGAGGCCTCAGCCATGAACCTTACAATGGATGAGGAAAAGATATTATTTTTCTCCCCTACAAAAGATTATTGACCTAGATGGAAAATATTTTAGAAATATTCCCTGTCTCAAGAGAAGGCCTATAGGCAGGATTAAGATGTCTGATTTATTTACACAATTCTAATGTGGAGCCCCTACAATGCACACATCACTCTCTACTATGTACTAAGGGGACTGGTACAAAAATGCACCATAGAGCTTCAGGACTTACCTTGTTTTGCTGGTATATCAAAATGGGTTAAAAAGTGAATAGGAAGTCAATACAGTAAGTGACTTCCTGCTCTACCACTGGGTTTGAGTATAAACAAAAGAAAAAGACAAGGTCCTAAATGGAGGAGGATTATTTATTGTTGCTGCTGTTTGTGGAATGAGGCATCTGGAGCATGCTGGTAGTCTTACACTTGTGGAGAAGAGGCTGCAACTAAATGAGACAATGGCAATAACAGATGGCACGGGGTCCTGGGAAGACTGGGGTGGAGGGATTGCAATCAAGAATACAGCTAAAGGAATTAGATTTTGAAAGAACAGGGTATCCTTGTCTCAGACTGAAGAAAAGGAATTAAGATAGATATTGACTTTTTTCTGTGAGAGAGAAAGATATCATCTGGTTCAGAGAGAGACATCAAAAGTCTGCAAGAGTTTTAAAGTCATTGCTATGGGAAATGGAAAAGCTGCTGACTTAGGAAATGTATAATAAAGTATCAAAATGTAAATAACTCTTTATCCAAAACTTTATAGAGACACCTGGAAAAAGTCTGACACAAAGGCATATTTAGTGGTAAATACCTTCCATATATAGAATATTCTCAAATAAGCTAACTGATAGAATTTAACAAAATCAACAATTTTTAAATGAAAGACAGTTAATTCATGAAAAGTAGTATATCTGACTCTCTTCCAGCTAACTGTACATTTTGATTCAGTCTCACTAACTGTGTGACACTTTTAAAGCATGAGTTCCTAGAGCTATATATTTGGATCTCTTACAAAGCCAGCAAATCTATTTAATATACTCTTTATATGTCACTATTTTAGAGTATGCATTTTCTTAAAGAATCATAAATATGATTTTCAGTAAAACCAAGATAAACTTCTCTGATATGAAATCTAACAGGAAAACCTATTACTTGAAAAAAGGCCCTGCCAATCCAAAATAAAAAATCAGAAAAAAGAATCATAGTTTATAAACACCATTTGTGCAAGCTTTTTGGTTAAAGAAATTCATACAACTTCAAGAATATACATGCAGAAAGATAAATGTTTTCATTTACTTATTTGAAACACTCAGGGTATATATACAGAATACTTTTGTAAAAGAAATACATTTTAAAACATTTTACTTTACCCTTGTTCCCTTTGGCATTGCTGTTTCATCAACCAATAGGCAAAGAATATTACAAGCCACCAATAGGACTGAGATGGACTACAAAACAAAAAGTAAGCCATCAGCTATCAAAGATTCTTGCCAATACACAAATATTAAAATCTAAGTAACCGACTGTATGTTTCAGAGTAGAAGAAAAGCAGTCAAGACCAAAATTCTACATATAAAACTACAGAAATCAGACTATATAAAAAAAATCCAGAATATATTTTAAAAGATTCTGCAAACAATTATAATTTCAAAGCTTGTAACAAAAGCTAATAATATAGATCATTTTACTAAGTGATCTTACCAACTGGAAACACAGAATTAAAAAGTAGAACTAATTTCATAATGTAATTTTCATATTCTATCATAGAATTTCAAGCAGGGTATCTGCAGCACACTGTGTTTTCTTAATTTTTAATGAAAGAAAGGCTGAATTTCCTGCTTTCATGAGGAAACAGATAATCTTCAGAACTTTTTTAAATTGCCATGAGTTTTTTTTTTTTTTTTTTTTACAAATAAAGGCAGGCAAAGATGAATTTTAATCTGTTAATAGAAAATCAGTTTTCTGGAAACCATTTAGCCAAGGGAGTTGCCATACTCAAATGCTAAAGTAAATAAAGTATAATTTGCTCTATTTAACTAGGCAAATAAATTCTTACTGTCTCAATAAGAAGGAGAACCATAACAGCAGGATACACCAAATTTCTTTCCCATGCTGAAGCCTTTTTTCGCCTCTCTATTAGAAGAAAAAACAAGATTTCAGTAACTTCCAAAAATTCTCTCCAGATTCACATTTTCATTTCCTATGCTATAGTCAGTATGCATTATTTTTACATAAACAATTTCTTTTTTGAAAACATAGATTACTTTTCATTTTCCTCCACAAACTATAAAAATCAGTTTTAAAATTAGTTTGCTACATTAAACAGCTCAATCTTGTAATGCTTAAATTTGAGTGAAGACATTTCAGTTTTTAAGAAAATATATTGTTAATATACAGCTCAGTTTGAAAATACAGAAATACTGTATTTGTATTTTACATAGATCTACATATTGATATAGGTATATAATTGAACAAATAAAATAACATGATTAAAAATCCCCTCTATTCTCATATCTCAGAGATAAACATTTCTAGTTTTCCAAAGGCTGAAAGTAAACTTCCACTTTTAACTACAATTATAAACACCAACTCTCACGGCAAGAACATCCAGAAAAGACAGGTCAAACTTAATTTTTTAAAAAAATCGGTCTAAAGATACCAGAGAGCTACCAAGACAACAAGTAATGAGGAACTAATGCTTAGTGAAATGAACTGAGGTGAACCCTCCACTCTGCACTACCTTTCCCTGCAAGGCATAGACCTAAGAGACTGAGAAATCAAGCGGAAATTGGGGGTAAAAGGGAACGATGCCAAAGCAAGGCTTTCACCAGACTCAACACAGCCAGGGAGACAAACATCAGAGTTAAGTGCTATCAAGGCAGCCAGAATTTGAAAGGCTATGATCGCAGAGAAAAGGAAAGGGCAAAGACGTGAGCCTGACATGCAGCACCCTTCTCCTTCAAGGAAGGCACCAGTGGCTGAGAGGCCAAGCAGAAGAACAGAAAGATGCAGCAAAGAGGCTGAGAAGACAAGCAAAGCTTCTGTCAGGCTCATGTTTCTTGAGAGGTAAAAACTAGAGTTCAGGAAGAAGATGGGGTCATAGTCAAAAGCAAACAACCAGGCTTTCCATTAGCACCAAAGAAAAGCTGTACCCTATGATTAATGCCAAACTCAAAATTGACCAGGCCTTGTAAAGGCCAAAACCCAGCAGCAACTGATCTCAGGCCCAGATGGATTAAATCGATATGTCCCTACTCAGAGTGACCACCACAAGGACAGAGGGGGACATGAGCTGTGGGGGCTCTGAGCAAGGAGCCAGGTGCAAGGTCTTGCCAAGGCTCCATCTGGTTTCTGTTCCCATCCTTGATGTTATCTTAGGGTCCTGCTGGATTCTGATATATTTCAGGGTGGAATCATATAGCTTTACTGATGCCTTCTTTGGTTTCTCATCATCTGAACAGTATGTGTCTCCTGGCAATTTTATAACTCCAGGCTAACTGGAAAACAACATTAATCCTTTCATACAATTGCATCCCTACTCTTGAGTTACTTTAGTTTATGTTCTCTGTTTGCTGCAGTAAATCATTCAGCAAACTTTTCAGGGAAGGTTCTTGGCTGACATGCTTTCTTAACCTCTGCATATTTGAGACTGTCTTCCAGTTGCCTTTGTACAGAAATGATAACTTGGCAGGGTATATAATTTTTGGCTCAGAATTGTTTTCCCTTAAAACTCTGTAGATATTATTCTATTGTCTTCTAGCATTTAGAGTTGCAAGAAAAAAATCTGAGGTCAGCCTGACTTTTGCCCCTTTATGAGTAACTCGTTTTCACTGTCTGGATACTTGTAGAATTTTTTCTTTATCCTTGAAATTTAAAAACCAGAATATGTCTAGGTGTTGCTTTCTTTTCATCAAATTTTAAAGGTACCCCACGTGCTTTTTCCATTTGCAGATCTAGTTTGTTCTTCAACTCCAGAAAATTTTCTTCTATTAGTTCCTTAATTACTGTTTCAGCTCTACTTGCTCTGTCCTCTGTTTCAAATATTTCTATTATGCATAGATTGTACCTCCTGGACCAGCCTTCTAGGTCTTTCTTTTTCTCCTCTTTCCTCATCTTGATTTCTTTTCCCTTTTTCTCTGCATTCTGTGAGACTTTCTCTTGTTTTGCATTTACTTCAGTAATTGGATTTTGTGGACAATCCAGTTTGTGCCTTCTTTTTTGGTCCTCCTTGCTAAGAAAAGCTATTGAAAAGGTCATAATACTGCAGTGCAGAAGAAAGGAACAGAGCTAAGTAATTAAGAAAATGCCTCCTCCTGAAGTGGATGTAGTACCAGAAACAGAAGCTACAAAAAAAGGTTTAGGAATTGCATAACAAGGGAGTTACACGAACTATCCGCAGTGTTAGAGAAGGGATGGGCATAGAGCTCAAAAAGTATCAGGGAGTTGAGAGAGTCCTGCAATTTTTTAATGAGAAATGTCTGACATTCCATCAAACATTACCAGAAGATGGGACAAAGAGGAAAAAAAGACAAAAGAAACAGACACTGAGTTGATCCACATATTGGACTTATTAGAAAGAGGCATTAAAATAAATAATTAATATGCACAATAAAATAAGTGACAAAATGGCAAATTTCACAATTTGAATCTATAAAAAATAATGAAATGGAAATCACAGAACTGAAAAATATTGTAACTAAAATGAATAACTCAACAGTTTTGACAACAGTTATGACACAGTTGAAAAGACAGTGAAAAGGAAGACAGATCAGTAGAAGATACCACAGGCTGAAGCATGGAAATAAGAAAGGAGGGAAATACAGAGTGAAAAGATCTTAGCATATATATATAACTGCAGTCTGAGGAAATAAAAGAGAATGAGGCGGAAGCAATATTTGATAAGATAATGGCCAAAAGTTTTCCCAAATGGATGAAAACCACAGAGTAATGAAGTGATACAGATCTCAAGAAGGATAAATACAAAGAAAACCAAATCTAAGTATCAGGATAAAACTGCTAAACAAAGACAAAAAGAAAATCTTTAAAGCCCTTCAAAAGAGCAACAATATGACTTTTAACCAGAAACCAGAAGTCATTGGAATGAAATCTTCACAATGTTGAAAACTACCCAATAAGAATTCTAAATTCTATTTTCAAATGCCCTACAAATTGACAAGGCAGAGTAAATATGTTTTCAGATAAATAAAACACCAATGAAACACCATTTCACATCTACTAAATTGGTAAAAATTTGAGAGTCCAACATTGTCAAGTGGTGGCAAGGATATGAAACAACAGGGAATGCAAAATAATACAACTACCTGAGAAAACAGTTTGGCATTATCTAAAAAGTTGTACGTGCACATATACTATAATCTTTATATAATTCCACTCTTAAAAAATATATATGCCAAGAGATATGTATAATAATAATAATAATGTAGTAACATTATTCATAATAGCAAAAGGCTGGAGACCTATCTAATATCCATCAATAGCAGGATAACTAACTTCAGGCAATACAATGTTATTAACTGAAATAAAAACGATAGCAACATACATGGCTTTCAAAAAGACAACACTGGACTTCCACCTCTGAAGACAGAGCAATAACAGGGACCAGATTTACCATCCAGCCTGAAACAATTAAGAAACCAAATATATGAAAGCAGTTTTGAAGACACCGGACATCTGATTATGGAAGAACAATGCTCTCTGAGAGATGGGAAACAAACAACAGGAACCCGAATGACCCAGCTTACTGTCTTGAGAGTTTCCACGCCATGGTGCAGGGAGGAGGTATCCAAGCAGAGCCCAGTTGAGGACATGAAATGGGAGTCTGGGAAGCCCTAAGTCAGCTGGAGTTTGCAGAGCAAAGTACCAAAGAGGACACTACAGCACAGAGAAAGAACTCCAAGGACCTTCAAAGGGTTGCCCTCAAGTATTTCAGTAGAGTAATGATCGGCTCAGGCATGTTAGGAAACAACCCATGGCTGAGGAAAGAACCACTCAAAAATAAGAGCAGAGAAAGAACTCCAAGGACCTTCAAAGGGTTGCCCTCAAGTATTTCAGTAGAGTAATGATTGGCTCAAGCATGTTAGGAAACAACCCATGGCTGAGGAAAGAACCACTCAAAAATAAGAGAGAGAACAGAATTTGACAATCACGGAGTGCCAAAAATAGAGCCTGCTCCCCCCACAAGACAGTACAAAACCTCAAAACATCATAAATCACAAGACATGGGATAAGAAGTGTCTTGCCCTAGTGGTGGGGAACAGTTGGCCCTACACGCAAAGCTGCTCTAGTCCAGCCTAACAAGTCTTCAAAGCAAAACACAATAATATCAAACTGTTTCCAAATAATTTAATTGCATCCCAGAACAAAGCTCCTCATTTACAGGAATACAAAAATATCAGCAGCACTCGACAAGGTAAAATTCACAGTGTCTGTTTTCCAATCAAAAATTGCCAGGCATGCAAAGAAGCAGAAAAATACAACTGATGAGGAGGAGAAAAATCAATCAATTGGAACTTATCAAGAACAACACAAATGTTAGAATGAGCAGACAAAAACATTAAAACTGTTGTCATAACTGTATTCCATATTTTCAAAAAGACGGAAGACAAAGACTGAACATGTTAGAGACATGGAAGGTATAAAACAGGCCAAAATAAAACTTCTAGAGATGAAAACTGCAGAATCTGAGGAAAAAACAAAATACACTACACGGGGTTAAAGGCAGATTAGATATGTAGAAGAAAAGGACAGTGGAAGGGAAGACACAGCAATAGAAACTATCCAAAATGAAATATAAAAAGAAAAAAGGACTGAAAAATAAAGAAACATCCTTGAGCTGTGGGCTTATATACACGTAACTGAAGTCCCTGAAGAAGGGGGCACAGAGGGAAAAAGAATATTTGGAGAAGTAATGGTGAAAAACTTTCCAAACAAGATGAAAACTATAAATTCCCAGATCCAAGAGACTCAATGAACTGAAAAGCAAGAAACGTGAAGAAAACTACTCTAAGATGTATCATAATCAAATTGCTCAAAATGAGTGATGAGGACATCTTAAAAGCAGATATGGAAAAAATGACATTAAAAGTATGACAGACTACTTGTCAGAAATAATGGAGGTGAAAAGACAGTTGGAGCAACATCTTTGAACATCACAATCCTTGAAAATCATTTTGTATATATACAAAACAGAAAACAGTTAATAAATACATACTTATTATCCCCTCTCCTCAAAGACAGTCCTTTATCAATAATTTTTGACAGACTGAAAGATTCTAACATGAACTAAAGATTTCATAAATTTTCTACTATTTTAGACTACAGTAAAGTCTTTAATATGAAGCCAAGACAGAAGGAAAAAAAGTACTATACCTAATTTTGTCTTAAGCGTCTTTACACTTTCAAGTTCTTGTTCCAACTCCTTTATGTTGCACTCCACTGATGAAGACAGCCCTATGCAAAGAAAAAATGTTTAGAAGTATAACAACAGAACCCCTAACACTATAAACCGGTAGCCTCTTAATTAAAACATAAAATAACATATTGCAAATTCTGATAATTGGGAATAAAAACCAATGCTGCTGCGACTCATCGTATATCCATATCTTTACTACTTAAAACATCCAAGTTCTCACTGATTAAATACT